CATCCTTCATCCATCATCCATCCATCCATCCATCATCCACCCATCTATCATCCTTCATCCATCATCCATCCATCCATCCATCATCCATCATCCATCATCCATCATCCTTCATCCTTCATCCTTCATCCATCATCATCCATCACCATCCATCCATCCATCCATCCATCCATCCATCCATCTATCCATTGTCCTCCATCTGCCCTCTATCAACATCATCCACCCAGCCTTCATCCATCATCATATCATCATCATCATCAGCATCATCATCATCATCATCATCATCATCATCATTATCATCATCCATTCATCCATCATCCTCCATCCATTCACCCATCCGCCCATCCACCCACCCATCTATCTCTATCATCCTCCATTCCATTGATCCATCATCTTCCATCCTCCATCCTCCATCGTCCATCCATCATCATCATCCATTCATCTATCATCCTCCATCCTTCATCCTTCATCCACCTACCCACCCATCTATCTATCATTCTCCATCCCATCCATCCATCCATCCATCATCCATCCATCTGTCATCTTCATCTCTAACATCCATCCATCCATCACTTCATTCATCCATTCTTCATGGATCCACCCACCCACAAATCTACCATCCTCCCCCCATCATCCTCCATTCCTCCCTCCCTCCATCATCAACTATGCATCCATCCATCTATAATTCTCATCCAGCCAGCCATCCAGCCATCCAGCCTTCCATCCATGGGAGAGAACAATTTTGTATAATTAAAGTTGCACAACAGATAACAACCGGCCTCAAGGAAGTTTCAAGCCCTTAAGTAACAGCTCCACTCCAGCCCCCACCAAAAAGAAAAGGGCACAGATGAGGTTGGCACCTCTGGTTTACTTACTCCTTGACCCAGTGGTCCGGATGTCTTTTGTGCGGGGCATCTGGGAACTGAATGAGCAGGAGGTGAGACTCTATCAGCGAATTCTGAAGAAATTCTGTTGAGAGAGGGGCTGTTCCATTTGGACCTAGATGGCCTCTTTGACCCCTCTCCCAAACCAGTGGTCCTCTCTGTCCAATATTTAGACTTTGCTTGTCT